CTCCTGTCCCACTATCATGCTCAGTCCCCACCAGGATTTCAGCACTTTCTCTTTGTTACGTTCCCCTTGATCATGCCCTACCAGGTCTCCCACACTCGACTCCCCACCAATTTGGATCGCTTGTTGTTCCCTTGTCCCTGGGTTTGTTAACACCTCTTCCCTTCCCCCCACCTCCTCCTCTCTTCTTGCCTCTTTTCGGGACACTTGTGATTGCAGTTAAGGCTCATTTGGATAATACAGGATAATCTCATCTCAAGAATTTAATCATATCAGCAAAGATTCTTCTTTATAAGATAATCTTTATAGCTCTCAGGGATTGGGGCCTGCTATCTTTGGGGGGGGCTATTATTCATTTTTATAAATGGAAATCTAAAGACTTCTCAAATTGGCATACAATTAACCCAAAAAAAAATTTTTAAGTTGATTTTGGCTCATGTGTGAGTAGAACTGTGTTCCATAGTATTTGAAATGGCTCAGTTTTGGGAAGTAGATTGCCAGACCTTTTTCCCAAGGTACCTCTGGTAGACTTAAACCAACAATGTTCTGGTTTGCAGCCAAGTGTATTTATTATTTGCATCTGGCATATAATAACTTCTCCTCAGAAATGCCTCATAGCAACAGCAGAACTGCCCCATAGACTCCAAGTCTGTGCTCTTTACAGAAACAGACTGTCACATCTTTCTCCTCTAAAGCAGTTGGTGAGTTCAAACTGCCAGTGCTTTGCAGCTGCATCATTAACCACTGCACTACCAGATCTCCCCGGCATCAAGAGAAAAGCGTCTGAAGGCCATGTAAAAGGAAAGGTATGGCAGTAGATAGGTGAGGGATATAGTGCAGCTAGCGATTATGCAACCGCTTCCCTATGCATTGCTCTGCCCTTCCTTTCACATGGCCTTCATATGCTTTTCTTTTAAAGAATACTGTTACCACATTGGAAGTGTGCCTACTAGGATAATAATGGTAATGAAATTAATAGCTAATATTATTTACTAAATGTTTACTGTAACTTAAGCACTGGACTGATTGCATTATCCATGAGTATAGGTAGCTTTATAATTCCTGTTTTACGGATGAGAGAAAGTAGACATAGGTAAAGAAACTTAATTTTCTCAAATTTACCCAGCTGGTAAGTAACAGGGCTGGGGTTCAAAGTAGGATCTCTCTAGTTTTGAGAACTGTGTTTTCAATCATGATACCTAACCTCTAACTCAGGACTGAGGTTCAAATCTCTGGTTTTCTGCTTTTGCTTCTTCTGGTCAGACTGTCCTTGGAGATTTCCTGCACCTTTTGGCAGGACATTCAGTATTTGACAATGCTTTGAAGCTGTGCATACGGTTTTCAGCCACTTCTTCCTCTGAAGTGGAGAGTTGAGTCCTTCTTCACTGTCTATTCTTAGTTTGGAGGTGCCACTGAAGCCTGTTCAGTTTGGGTGACCCCGCTTGCATTTGAAATATTAGTGATATAGCTTCCAGCATCATAGCAACACACAAACCACCACAGTATAACAAACTGACAGCCAAGTGGTAGACCAGAAAGGTATTTGCTTGTATTTCATTGTTTATGCAAAGACATGCATTTGACTGTGGACCATAATAAACTGGATAACCTTTAGTGTTAAGAACGAGGATTCTATAACACTTCATTATGCTGTTTGGAACTTATACATGGATCAAGATGCTGTTGTGCAAACACAACAAGGGAATACTGCATGGTTTAAAATCAAGAAAGGTGTGTGTCAGCGTTGTTTCCTCTCACCATACGAACTTGTTCAATCTATATGCTGAACAAATCAGAGATCCTGGCTTATATGAAGAAGAGTGTGGCATCAGAATTGGAGGAAGGCTTAGTTTATAACCTGTGGTATACAGATGACACACCTTGTGTGCTGAAAGTGAGAAGAACTGAAGCCCTTGCTGATGAAGATCAAGGATTGTAGCCTTCTGTATAGATTACAGTTCAGTGTATGTAAGCCCCAAATCCTCACAACTGGACCATTAGGTAACATCATGATAAAAGGAGAGAAGGTTGAAGCTGTCAAGAATTCTGTCTTGCTGATATCCGCAATCAGTGCATGGAAGCAGAAGTCAAGAGATCAAAAGATGTGTTGCATAGGTAAATCTGCTGCACAAGACCTCTTGAGAGTATTGAAGAACCAAGGATGTTACTTTGAGGACCAAGATGGTATTCTCCATTGCATCACATGCATGTGAAAGCTGGACATTGAATAAGGAACGCAGTAGAAAAATTGATGCATGTAAATTGTGCTGAACAAGAATATTGAAAGGACCATGGACTTCTAAAAGGATCTTTATTGGAAAAAGTAAGGCTATAGTGCTCCTTTGAGGCAAGGATGGCAACTTTGTCTTACATTCTTTTTTCTTTTTTTTCACCGCTTTTGACAAATTTTTAATTTCCTGTCATTTTTATGTTTGAGGGGTTTTTTTGGTTTGTTTTTTTATCATTTTATTGGAGGCTCGTACAACTCTTATTCCAATCCATACACCCATCCATTGTATGTCAAGCATATTTGTACATTTGTTGCCTCATCATTCTCAAAACATTTGCTTTCTACTTGAGCCCTTGGTATTAGCTCCTCATTTTTCCCCTCCCTCCCAGCTCCTCTCTCCCTCATGTGCCGTTGATAATTTATAAATTAGTATTTTGTCATATCTTGCACTGTCCGACGTCTCCCTTCACCGACACTTTTCTCTTGTCCATTCCCCAGGATGGAGGTTATAAGTAGATCTCTGTAATCAGTGTTGTATCTCACCCTCCCCTCCACCCTCCTGATATCACCACTCTCACCACTGGTCCTGAAGGGATCATCCGCCCTGGATTCCCTGTGTTTCCAGTTCCTATCTGTACCAGTGTACATCCTCTGGCCTAGCCAGATTCGTAAGGTAGTATTGGGATCCTGATAGTGGGGGGTGGGGGAGTGGGCAAGAGGAAGCATTATTTAGGAACTAGAGGAAAGTTTTATGTTTCATCGTTGCTATACTGCACCGTGACTGGCTTGTCTCCTCCCCAACCCTTCTGTATGGGTACATCTTACATTCTTTAGCCATATTGTCAGGAGAAACCGGTCCCTGGAGAAGGACATCATGTTGGGTAAAGTGGAGGGGCGGTGAAAAAGAGGAAGGCCCTCAATGAGCTGGATCGACACTGGCTGCACCAATGTGCTCAGGCATCAGAACAATTGTGAGGATGGCTCAGGGCTCTCCAGTGTTTTGGTTTGTTGTGCATGGGGTCACTATGGGTCTGAGCCCACTCTATGGCACTTAGCAACAGCAGCTGGCAGTGTTCACCAGTTTTTGTTTTGTTTTTTGGTCACGTTTTAGTTATGAGTAAATGGAGTTTAAAGGATAAAGAAGAAATGGAGGGTTCTAAATTCCATCTCTGACCCTCCCCCCAGAAGAATTTATTTCAAAGGACAGCATTGAAATTCACAACTCCGGGAGATGGATATATCTGATCGGAGCACACAGGAGCAGATGAAGGGGGAGGAGGAGAGACTAGAGCACATCCTGGCCCACCAGGCCTTCAGGACGATGTTCCTGATTAGAGCAGCCAGTCCACAGATAGGACCACATGGCCAGCCCCACTATGAGACATGGCATTCCTCACTGACCCATAGCCAGACAGAGGACAACACTAGAGACACAGTGTGGGAATTGTGCCCGATCTGATACTGCCACACTGAGGCAAAACACTAAGGGGGTGCAATAGAACAGCAAGGGAACTAACTACAAGCTTTTCTTTCTTCTTGTGTATTTTTGTCATTGGTTTGTACAAATGTGCTTTACACAATTGATGTATGTATGGATTGTGATAAGAGGTGTATGAGCCCCTAATAAAACAATTAAAAAAACAAACAAACAAATTCCATCTCTGACTACTTTTTGTGTTGCTTATCAGTGCGATCTTTTATTATATGAGTAATGTCTGAATTTTGTCAAAATACCTGATATGTAACAGTGTCTGAACACAGAGTAAATGTTCTACCAGAATGTAAACTGTCTTTTTTTTTTCTTCCTACCAATAGTCTATGAGATCTCTAATCTCTCTACACCCTCTCCAGGATGTGTTGTTTTCTTTCTTCTTCTTCTTCTTCTTTTTTTTTTTAATAGGCTGTGTTTGTGGTAACTGGAGGTTATCATGATGGGAGCCCCTGGTTGGGCAGGTGGATGTTGGAGTCTTATTTCTGGGAAGAAAGCTCCATAGGTGCCCACAGTTTGCCAATGAGCCTGGAAGAGTTAGTGTTATTGATCCACTCAGGACAGTATTGCTTGTTTTAGAACTGCAGGCTTAACGTCATTATTTCCACTTTTTTCTAACTTGAACGTGTGCAGTTTCTGTTCCAGATGATCGGGCTGAACAAAGAACATGCCTCATATGTGGGGACCGTGCCACAGGCTTACACTATGGGATCATCTCCTGTGAGGGCTGCAAAGGGTTTTTTAAGCGGAGCATTTGCAACAAGCGGGTATATCGATGCAGTCGTGACAAGAACTGTGTCATGTCTCGGAAGCAGAGGAACAGGTGCCAGTACTGCCGTCTGCTCAAATGCCTCCAGATGGGAATGAACCGGAAGGGTGAGTGGTTTTTATGGTCTTCATTTGTCCACCTTTCACCTGTCACTGGACCTTTAATGTCTATTAAGCCATGAATTTATTTAGTTCCTATGTATATTCCAGACCTTGTACTGGGTACTGCTCACCTAAAAATGAACATAACATTCCCTGCTTATAGGGACTTCCCAGACTTGAAGTCATTGAGAATAAATGCACAAGCCCCCAAGTAAATAATATTCCCTTTCATAATCAGGTTCTGAAAGGATAGGCAGGAAATCCCCTGAATGTAATGTTACTTTGTTTGCTTCAATCAAGGAATATTCAGAGGTTAGGTACCTAAAAGTCAATGTCTAGATTAGTGAGGCCTTTGGGACTTCTTCCTGAGAAACTGTCTTGAGAGCCATTAGGCTGAGAGGACATGAATAAACAAATATTATTATTATTCATTTTATTAGGGGCTCATACAACTTATCACAACCCATACATACATCCATTGTGTAAAGCACATTTGTACATTCTTTGCCCTCATCATTCTCAAAACATTTGCTCTCCACCTAAGCCCCTGGCATCAGTTCCTCATTCCACCCCCCCACCCCCATTTTTGAGATTTTTCAATACTTTTTCACCACTTCCCTCTCAGTTTGTTATACTGAGGTAGCTTGCG